TAGATAGATAGATATTTCTGCGTGTACTTATGGTAATAAGTGAACAATCATTGGTTTCCTTTTTTTTTTTTTGAGATTTTTGACATTATCATCTTTTCTCTGAAAGAAGAAAAAACATTTTCCAAAAGTGAAATGTTAGAAATTTTCAGCTCATTGACATACAGTCAATTCTTTTGTGCAGACTTTTAGCGAATTATTTTAGGTTGTTTAAATTCGACGGCACGTTGTCTCCGTGCAAATCTACGCAAAAAAAAAAAAAAAGCGAAGAAATATATTTCGTATCTGTTTACGGAATCCATCAAGCTTGCGTCACATGAGGCCATTTCTTAGCACCTGCCTCGATGACACCAAATGAGGTTAGAAGCTATTAGTCCTAATTAACGTCATTATTAAGTTCCTTCAACTTAGAGTAAATCCTGTATTCCTCAGTCCCGCGCAATATTTTATATGATGAATTGCTTAATTTACTGTTGATAGGATTAGTTGAAAATAAAGGTACCTCGATCCATCGACTTCCATCGACATCTACCACTACTCGGATTGTTGATTACAGATTCAAGGTTAATGAATTTATTCTCGTTGCTCTCTCTCTCTCACTCACTTTCTCCTCTTTGTCAATGAATAAACAAGAAAAGACACTTGCAAATAATGGTTAACGCCAATGCCAACTCGAAGAAGTAGATGAATAGCATTGCAAATAATATTAGTCCCTCACTATCACTGTTTCGATTCAAACGTTCTCCTCAGTGTCAATCCCCCGCATTTATCTTTCATTATAATCGGAAAACTTGTAGCCTTAAACGTAAAATGTCTGCGGATGAGTGATCTTGTTACTCCTTATCATGCGTGACAGCAACCAGCTTAGTTTTCCTCTTTTGCAGCTGGCTTCTGAAAGTTTTTGCATTTGCTTTCTTTTTATTATCAGCTTGCATATCGTACTTATTTATAATCTAGGCCTGCTAACGAGCTCATCATAATCTAGCATAATCGCTTGTTATTCATTCCAGATATATAATTTCAAACGGATTACTGTGGCGGCTGCTTTTTCACGTAGAAATTTAAAGATTTCAGGCCTCTTTGACCAGCTGCCATAACATTAAATGGATCGCTAGAAAAAAAAAGGAATATTTTTTTTTATATAGAATTTGATCCTAGGCACACCATTCCTATGTGTAGACTGATTTCTCTCTCCAGAGCATATGAAGCTCCATAGCAAGAAATAACACGAGAGATTACCTGAAATTAGCAGAGTTTAAATTACTATGGTCTATGTGGATTTAATGACAAATCATATGATTGCTTAAAATGAAAGCGTTCTGGGTATGACGATAAACTACGCCCAGTAACAAGGCCTCTTATCAAGAGATTGGATGTTCTGAGGATCATTAAACCACCTCTTAACTGACGTGGTTCCCAGCACCTGGTAGCACATGTTAGGGTCCCAGCTATGGGCAAATAATGAACCCTCCCCTCAAAAAATCCATAGTACATTTTTATTGTTCTAAGATTAACAGCAATATCTTTAAAATACCAACAATACATTTTATTATAAAATATATATCAAAATAAAAGTATATGTTTACTCTGAAAGTATAAAAATATGTACCAATTACCTGTAGTCGAAGGCATAAGATTGCGTAAAAAATATTTAAATGTTTCAATTTCGGTAATAATTAACCCATGGAGGTGTTGGTATGTCGCAAAAGAAAATCAGTAAAGCAATTAAATAGAAATATTTGCTACTACGGCAGACAGATTCCACGCCGGTATAAAAGAAAATAATAATAAAAAAAGATTGACTATTTTTACATCAAACCTTAAATATATTCACTCATAACTTGGAGTTTCGCCGTCTTCATACAGAATTAAATTCTGTTGAATTCTATCAAAGTGTAATACTCTTAAATATATCTTCGTAAATAAACGAGAGAATTTTTAATTTCCTGGTTTTTAATCGTTTTACTTCTGAAGATGGAGAACAATTGTTAGATTTCGTGAAAAAAAAAGTATTTTCTTTCAAAAATGTTTCAATTACTGTCTAGATAAGAAAATGTGGTCAAAATCGTACTTCAAAATAGTAAGGAATCAAAATGGTTTCTGCCCAGTGCTTTAAGTCAATATAAACAGTTTAACGTCCACTAAGTTTAAAAGATCGCATCGGAAATTTCATTAATTATTCTGCTTCGCATAAAAAGATTCGATTTTGAGATTTTTGAGATTCGACTGTTGAAGCGTTAGAATCACACACACAAAAAAAGACTGTGACTAAGGCAAAAAAGAAAGAAATAGAGAAATGTATGCACAAGGAAACGACAACAACAACAAAAAAATCAAGGAAAGATGGCAAAGGAGTAATTTACATTAAATGAATTGAAAACAAATGAAGAGAATAACAATAAAAAAATATAAAAATGCGAATTTATAATATAGAAAATATATGATATTATTTTAAATATTTTGTCGCAAAAGTTACATACATTTCATTCGAGAAAAGTGTCTGCTTTTTCTCTCACATCTTTCTGAGAAATATTAATACGATCTAAAACAGAAAATGAAACATAAGTCTGGTAGTCCATATTTGCTGGCTATTATATCGATCATCACTTATACAATACAAGAGTGAGTTAAGAATTTAAACTTATGAATTTCGATCGGAATGGATGAAAACTTCAGAAATATTCTTCTTGCAACCGTTCAAATAATATGAGGCAGTCATTTTCAAAGTATATTTTAGATACCAGACGGCTTATGTAGCAATTTGGTATGGAGGAATAGATTTTGCTAGAATCCGTAAATTCGCCCCCAAATTGCAGGATTTACTCCGGTTCAGACATTGTCTACTTGTACCTTCTTGAAATATGCCAATATGTAGCCCACCAAATTTGGCTAAACAGACGTATATATTAAGGTTGGTTCAAGACAAAAAAACGAGTTGAAAATATTAAAGCTTCAGCTCCCTACAATGACAGTAGTAGACACAGATGAATGTCCAATGGTAAAGACTGGGACAGTAGGAAATCTCAGCGACGTTTGATTGAAACATGAACAGGAACGAGAGAAAGACTACCTTCCTTATTCGCTTGACGTGATTTTGAAAAAAACCTGGATGAGGGTTGATCGAACACAGGATAGCAAAATCAATTTAATGAAGAAAACAGATACTAATCAAATGTCCACTGTAATCAAGTGTTATTCTATGGATCACTGAGCTGGCCCAAGAGGATTGAACATATCAACCATAGAGGTAAAAGTAGAGATGAAATAATTGTGAAATATTTTCCATTCGGAATCTCAGATTTGCCATCAACGTCATTATGGACTTCAGTCCACCCATCTCGTTTTTTTTTAAATACGAAGTCCATCGCGTGATATGGTTTTCTATTCAAAGTGTACAGTTTTGTTGCATACTGAGTTAAAAAAAAAGTTTTTCTTTTCGTTTGGCAACACTTCCGTTTCAGCTGGATTAGAACCACAAATAAGCTACTTCCTAAACCAAATAATTGCTACACGACAGGTGTTCTATACGGCCCGCTTCATTTGGTACGAGTCTATAAATATGTAGCAGATGTTTGACTGTTGACAAAGTCGGGAGCAATACTCGAAAACTACCTAAATGTTGCAAGAAAAACATACCTGGAGAAAGAATGACGTGTGATTATTATATTAAAGTCTGTTTTTAAGTACGCAAGCATGACGTTGAAAAACAGGTTTCCGAACGATCAATGAAGATAAGCAGCGTCAATCCTGGTAAGTACCTAGACGGGTGACCGATTGAAAATAATAGATTATGTAATCTTGAATGTAAAATTAGTTTACTGGATAATTGTTCGGAATTGTTAATCGGGAGCCAAGTTCCTTTTGAGTTCCCGACATTCAATTACGCGTAAATACTCTTAGGAACGGTATGAATCCACCTCTTCTCTCCCCAGCTATGGGTTAATTATTAAGACTTGTATCGCTATATCATTATTAACTCCAATACAATTTCTTACAATCTAAAACATATGTTCTAGATCTAAATAAACTGCAAAGAGTAAATAAGCTTTTAAAAAGGAACCAATCAAATTCGGAACGCGACTTTGCTCTGCAAACATCCGACGAACTATGGTTGAAAATATTTAGGAAAACTTCTCATCTTGAGGTATAGGAACCAACTTACTGAAAAAGCTTTTTCTATATCTATCTTCTTTCCCATGATAGCTCAACCAATCAAAATCGACTTCCTTATTTTTTTTTGTATCTGATCCCTAAAGTCACCCACAAGAAGTCCGTGTAAAGATACACTTCCAGTAAGAAATAATAATCTGCTGAACTATTATTAAACAATTGAAGCATACATCTAATATATATATATATATATATATATATATATATATATATATATATGTAAGCAAATATATGGATATAGATCCGACAGTATGAAGAAAAATATACTGAAAAAAAAATCTTAATATGCGATTATGCTGTTTTAATGTTTAATGTCAACGTCGGACGTTTCGGTCTAATAGACCATCTTCAGGACATATTCATAAAACAGAAATAAGATAGACCATATACAATTCAACATGAAAAAGACGATGGACATAAAAGCAATACCAATCCAAACAGATAACTGAGTTTTTTTTCAGTATATTTTTCTTCATATATATATATATATATATATATATATATATATATATATATTAGATAGATAGATAGATAGATAGATAGATAGATAGATATGAACATAAAATAAAAGATAAAGAGATGCAAAGAGATAGATAGAGACAGACAGACACCTAAATTGACAATTGCTTTAATGGTTAGCATAATGATAATTGAGTCCGAGAAACCGTGTTCTCACCCTGGTTGAAGTAGCTTGAGTTCATTTCGGATTATGCATTTGGAAATTGTATGAAGATGCCAGCAAAGAGAGTATTCCTTTTAACTACTACCATATAAACTAGAACAATACTACACTTTCAACAAAAGATGTGCACTTCCAAGTACTGTCCAGAGAAATGTCAGGGGCGTCTGATGAATTAATATATCATGTGATATATTATTTGATCTCCACTAATTCTACATAAGACATACTTATAGTTTTAAGCATGTGTGCTGAGATATAGCCTTAGTTAAACCAAACCGTATGTTTTATTCTTTTTACTTAAAAAAAAATCTGTTCCTTTATACATTTATGTATGCCAAGGTGTATTTCATTAGATAAGGAAGGTATATAATTAGAGCGTCTATTTGGAGTAAATAAGTTAATCTTTCCAATTAACAGAAACGAATTCATATATTCCTTCGTTTACTTTTCGTGCTATCTAATTTAGTCATCTGGTATTTTTTCTTTTTTTTCATCTTTGTTTATTTCTTCTATTTTTCTTTTCTGCATTTTCTTTCTTTTCTTCTTTTTTTTTTCTCTAAACGTTTCTTTTTTTGACGTGCTTAACTTCCCATTTTCTTTCATTTTGCTTTCTTTTTGCTTCTTATTTATTCATTCTTTCCTTCTTCGCTTCTTCGTTTCTTTACTTTTCTTTTTTTCTTTCTTTCATTTTAAACTCTTTTCTTTCTTTCTTTTTCATCTTTCTTTATTTTCCTTTTCTTCATTTTATTCTTTATTCTTTTTTTTGTCTCTCATTTTCTGTTTCTATCTTTTTCTTCCTACTCATGTATCTTTTTATAGAACGTCTTGGAATTTTTTGTTTTTTCCTTTTTTTTTTTAATTTTTCAGTCATTCAGTTTTTTCATCCATTCATTCGTTATATTATCAATTTCTTCCGCTGCTTTCGATTACTGTTTTCTTTTTAAGCTTCTTTTTCTTCTTATTTTCTTCTTTATTGGGCATATTTCTTTCTTTATCTTGTTTCATTATTCTTCTTTTATTTATTATTCTCTTTTTTTTTGCTATTCTTGTTTTTATTCTTGGTATTTTTCAATCTCACTCTCATTTTTTCTACATATCTGTCTTCAATGACAGTTTTAGAAAATTTCGCGAATTCTTTCGTTTTTCATTTTTTATTTTATTTACTTTTTTCGTTATTTATTTACTTCTTTATCTTCTTTTTCATTCGTTTTTAAGCTTCTGTTCATTTTTAATGCTTTATCTTTCTTTACATCTTGCTTGAATCATTCTTTCTTCTTTCCTTTCTTTCTCTCTCCTCTTGTCATTTAATGTTTTCATTTTCCTTCTTTCTTTCTTTTTCTCTGCTCTTTCAATTTAAAGTTTGCATTCTTCCTTATTTTTTTCTTTTTCTCTCCTCTTTCCATGTATTTATTATTCCTTCTTTTCTTTCTTCTTTCCATTTAATGTTTTCATTCATACTTCTTTTCTTTCTTTTTCTCTCCTTTTTCTATTTAATGTTTTCATTCATCCTTCGTTTCTTTCTTTTTCTCTCTTCTTTCCATTTAATCTTTTTCATTCTTCCTTCTTTCTTTCTTTTTCTCTGCTCTTTCTATTTAAAGTTTTCATTCTTTCTCAATTTTTTCTTTTTCTCTCCTCTTTCCATTTAATGTATCCATTAATCCTTCTTTTCTTTGGTTTTCTCTCCTCTTTCCATTTAATGTTTTCATTCATCATTCTTTTCTTTCTTTTTCTCTCTTCTTTCCATTTATTTTTGTTCATTTTTCTTTCTTTTCTTTTCCCTCTCCTCTTTCCATTTAATGTTTTCATTCATCCTTCTTTTCTTTTTTTTGTCGTTCTTCTTTTCTTTCTTTTTCTCTCCTCTTTCCACATAATGTTTAATTCTTTCTCCTCTACCTTCTTACTTTAATATGTTTTCTTTTATTTTCTTCTTGCTACTTCCCTATCTTTAAAAGAACGTTTCGGAAATCTTCGCAAATATCTATGTTCAGAGTCGTAATAATTCTTTTATCCATTTCTGTACGGTTGACATGTGCCGATGGGCCGGTCAGAATGCGCAAGCCGATATTGATAGTTTTAATATTTTGTTTCTACCCGAAGCAAGAGCAGAAAAGTTCGAACGAAATTACAGTGTATTTCGTTTTTTTTACTTTGCTTTGACTCTCATATTACGCTCGTCTGAGAACCACATAAATATATCTCGCTTGCAAGTTCCTTTTCATTCTCCGAAGAAAGTGCCGGCTCTCCAAGAGGAAATTACGAAGTATTTTACTCGATTGCAAGCCTTACAAAAATTATATACGTGTATACTTTTCTCACATATTCAGTGGTTTTTGCAAACACCTATGCTGTCTCTGAAACATTGTCGACAAATGGCTAATTCTGAAAATTGCACGGTGCCTACACGCCAGTGACATCTATATATACGGTTCGCTAAACTCAATGATTTCGGATTTTATTGCCTCTTAAATAATTTGCCGGATCTCTTGAAACATTCCAGAGCAATACTTTTGGACAATTTCCGATAGAGTGAAAAGATTTATTTCTATTTAAGCCATTTATGATATTCATTGACCCTAGCTTACATAGGCAAAAGGCCAAAACAGACGAAAGAGGGAAGAGAAAAAAAAAAGGAAATTCTTACACCAATTTTGCAGATTTGAAAGACCCGCCTTCTTAGGAAATCAGCTTTCAGAATTTTTGCTTTTACTGACGATCGAATATCGAACTCTCAGTGCTGATTGATATCACCGTTATCCTTATCGAAACGTACATGTCATACTTATAAGAAATGAATATTTAGCACAGATCCTATTCATTGAACAACTAAAAGTTGAAACTTTGATACATTTGGTTTCTACTCTGCTAACAGTTGCTTAGGTACCCACAGAAAATTACGAGTTTTAAATGCCTGAAAAAGAATCGCAGCTTTAAGGAATTATCAAGAATTATGATTACTCGACGTTCAATTTAGAACAGAATAATTTTAATGTGTATTCTCTCAGGTAACGTATAAAATAGGGGTAACGCTACTCTCAGATAAAAATATTTACGAATTTTCTCTGCTGCGTTCATAGAATTTTCTATACTGACAAGTTTTCTCATCTATGTGCCAAGGTTTTAAGGATGTCGGCAATCAAGCCCATCCACAACTTATTTTTGTTTCTATTGTCGTTAATACATTGTTACTTATAATTGAAAAATACATAAACGCATGTCGTGCAATGGAAAGTAAGTATTAATATTAACTAGATCAGACTGATACTTATTAAGAAAGAGCATTGGATTACCGCCCTCTGATGATAATCACAGACGACAGGGTTTTGAATTAACCGTCACACACTGACGATAATAACAGACGGCGCGAAATTTGAAAGAATCAATTTCTTTTTCGGTGACTTTTCATAGCGAAAAGGCGAATTGTTCCTCCACCCCGCCTGCAAAAACATGTAAGTTTTCAAATACAGACACTGATGATTGCTTTGAACTCTTCAAATTTCATATCATTTCTCATTTTTTTTTCTTTTGTAAAATGACCTGTCGATATATTTTTTAACATTGCTTCGTACAAATTCTATGTCTTTTGTTTCCTTTGGACACAGGCGAGTTCAGCAAAAACTGTTAGCAGGTTAAATACAACAGGAGCTTATAAAATCTCATCAAAAGTTTTGGGGATCCTCAACAATATATATATATATATATATATAGATAGATAGATAGATAGATAGATAGATAGATAGATAGATAGACAGAAGCACATGTAATTATAACCAGCAGTGTGGGAGCGATAATTTAAAATTTCGTCAGATATACAACTCTCTCTCGTATATCTAACTACCAACACCTCTTGAGAGCGTTTTTCCTTGAACGAGACACACAATGTACTGCTGTCTGCTTATTTGTTTATAAGAGGGAGAGCGATAACGAGAGACAGCGAGAGAGAGAGAGAGAGAGAGAGAGAGAGAGATAAAGAAAAAGAATGTGTTTGAGATATATAGTGTTGTATTACCGACACATGATGTTAGTCACAGGTGACGAAATTTCAAATTAAGCTCCTCACACCGCTGACTATAATTACAGGCGGCGCGAGATTTCAAAGAATCAACCATTTTCTCGATGAGTTATTCTTTTCTAACCCGTAAAAAAATAATATCAGTACCCAACTAGTGACACTGATCTTTACTTTCAACTCTTCATCTTCTACTTCACTTCTCATTTTACCTTTTGTAAAATGTCCTATAAAAATATTTGTGAAGATTTCATTGTTGAAATTATATGTCTTATTGTTTTCTTTGGACTTAAACAAGTTCATCAAAAACTAATTGCAAGTCAAATGTACGCAGGAGCTTACAAAATTTCATTAAAAGTTTTGATACACGCGTCAACAGTTAGACTCAGTGATATTACCTGATTTCATTTGAGCCTCCCCCCAACATATTTTCTAAAATCTTATTGTATATCCCCAGACGTTTAAGGGCGTGGACAATGATAGCTTTATGGACATTTTGTTTTAATTACCATACCTGAATTCCTTTTCTGCCACTCTTTCAGTCAATCTTTTACTAGAAAAAAAACATATTTTTCCATACATCTCTCGACATCAGTCTGCTAAATGAATTTTAAGCTTTCCTCATTATTCGTTGTAGAACATCCCTTCTTCTTTTTCTGAAGTTAACAGAATATAACTTGTTCCACCTATTGACTTATTACTTATTCCCAACTGAAAAATACATGCGCCTGAAATATTTTAATAGAAGACATGACTTTAAACTTCACCTGTTTTCAATCGCTTCAACATTAAAAATTATTAATATTGCACTTTAGCAGTCTTATATACTGGGAATCAATCATTCATCTAATTACCTGCCAATCAGGTCTTGTTCAGTTCATGACTGACAAAAGATTTTACTGCTGAAGACTGACATTTATTTCTGCGGGAGACATTTTGCCAACCAATCCTATAGAATCCAGTTTTTCCGGCTATACAACCCCTAGCTAGTGTTGGTGGGGGGGGGTGAAGAGATGGATTCATACTTTTCCCAAGGCTATTTGTTGCCTGATGTTGTAGGAAATTGTGGAATACTATCGGCTCCATGCTGTTCAGAAAACTTTAATATTCAATAATTTAGATATAATGTCAAGCGCTATTTACATTCCTCCTGATTATTCTTTTTATTCATCTTAGCAATGTTTTTATTTTCTAATTCGTCCATACCCAGTAGCCACTTGAACTAGATTTTAAAAAAAATAAATACGGGAGCCGCTAATAAAGAAAAAAAATCGCAAATGGCAGCAATACTTCCACCGCAAAAACTTGGGCAGCAACGGAAGTCAATACATGACAGCTAACAGCAGCATTTGCAACCTCATCAGCAGCCAAGTTTCAGTTTAAGGCTCTAAATTTATTGCAGCAAATATTCCCACTGGGAAATGTCCTAGTGGGTAACAGCGTTTTGAAATCGTGGCTGTGAGTTCAATATCTGTTACAAGTTCTCTGTATTTCACTCAGTGAAAGTAGACGAACAATAACTGAACAGTACTAAATAAAAATAACAGTCATGAGCAGTGGAACAAGAACAATCTACACCCGGTAAATAAATAAAATGTTCAGTTCGGAATTCCCTGTAGGTTACCCAGATCGATATACACCTGAGGAAGGCCGGTGGGTACAGCGTCCGAAACGTTATGCTAACAACAACAAAGATGAGGACATAGTTCGAATATACATATTGTAAATAATTGCTTTACAAATGTTCAGTTCAGAATTCCCTGTAGGTTACCCAGATCGATATACACCTGAGGAAGGCCGGTGGGTACAGCGTCCGAAAGATGAGGACATAGTTCGAATATACATAGTGTAAATAATTGCTTTACAAATGTCAGAAAGCTGTTTGAGTAAATGAATCAGTTATAAAAAACAAAAACAATTTGGCACATTAGATGTATTTCTATTAGGTATGCTGCATAATGAAGGCCTTATTGAATTAAATTAATTTTGTTCGTATTTTTTTTTATTTGACATTAATATGCTAATCGATTTTTTAAAGTTTTGTGTAATTACCGTGATTATTTTTACAGGCTGTCATCTTTTACGATGGTTTATTTTTCAGTGTTTTGGTTTGTTTCTCTAATGTTTGCTCTACAACATTTATTAAACTTGAATTAATGGACGTAGAAATGACTTCGTTTGAGAAAGAAATTAAATCCCTTACTAACACAAACAAAAAGGAGATCATAATTTTGATTTTAAAAACACATCTTTGATAAAAATAAATAATAAACAACCTATTGAGGAAAAAAATTCCAAGAAGCAATATAAATATGTAAACAACACACATTAAAACATACCATAAACGCGATATATGATAAATATTTTAGCATAATAATTGTGAGTTCAATCACTGAGTATGGTAGTACAGACTATAATTTATAAAGGATATCACTTCTTTTTCTGAATTTAAACAGAATATACCTTGTTTCTCTTACTGACATGCCAGCAAATCGTAATTAATTTCCTTGGAAAATAAATATGCGTATTAATTAGTTCAGGTTGAATATCACCTGTTTTAATTCGCTTCAACAGTGACCATTAGTGATATTACGCATTACTGGGATTCAACCATTCATCCATTTGCCTGCCAGTCATGTCTCGTTCAGTTTATGACTAACAGAAGATTTTAGCGCAGCAGTAAATATGTAAACAACATACATTAAAAACACCATACACATTATATTTTTGCATGATAATTGTGAGTTCAATCCCTGAAAAGGGTAGTACAGACTATATTCTATAATCATTAGAATGAAGGATATCAATACCTGAGCATTACTAAAAAAAAAAAAATAGCAAGACAGGATTTGTCCCCAGACGTTCGAAACAGAACGAGAAAAATTATGGCCATTGATCAA